GAGAGATACTGCCCCTTCTTCAGCACCTGCTTCAGCGACGGGAGGGACAACATGGAGCCCATGCGCCTCTGCCACCTGGCCCTGTGAGGGATGGGCCTGGCTCCTGCCTGGGGCGGTGCTGGGGGCCGGTTGTGCACTCGCAGACCTGATAGGTGTTGGAGGGGCTGTTTTGGTTTCAGTTTTGAGAGGAAGGAGAGGGATGAGTCTCTTCGAAGTTCCTATTTGCCCTCCCTTCCCTCTGGCGTGAGCTGTGGCTGCCACTAGGCATTCTCAGAGGTTCCTGGCAGCCCTTGGAAGAACAACCTCCCATGCCTGAGCATGGCACTGTACGGTAACAGCAGCCACAGGGCTGCAGTGGACGTTCCCGAGGGCTCCTGGCACCTCCTGTCCCTTTGTGCTCCCACCCGTAAGCCCTGTGGAGGAGGGTCGCAGTCCTCAATTCCACATCCCGGTCTTGGGCTTCCTCTGCTGGAAGAGCTTCCCGGGCAAGGGCTCCGGGCCGGCAGCAGAGGGAGCTCCGTGCCCAGCGTGGGACCCGCTGGAGCCCGGGGACTGCGGCGCTGCCTTCCCTCGACTCGGTCACTATTAAAGCTCACTAGAAAGGCAGTGCTGCCTGCTAGGCCTGCTCGGGGCTTTCATGCTGGGGGGCAATCTGCAGCTCAGCGGTGTAGGGCAGCCTGGGGGCACAGAGCAGCCCCCTGACCCCTGCTCCAGCCCTGGCTCCTCTCTGTGCCTGCAGCACAGGAGGCACGAAAGAGCCACCACGGTTTTCACACTGTCTTCTCTTGGAGTACTCCCTGTGCATCTTGCAGTGTTCCTCATTATTTGTTATTCAAGAACAAGGGAGGGAGGTTGTCAGAGCCCAGCTCTCACCTTGGGCTCCAGAGTTTTAAGTTTTGGCCACCTCGGATGTGGCTGGGTGTTAAGGATTTGTGAAAATTGCAAAGTCCCATTTTATGCCAAATTCAGTCCATCTTTGCCTATCAGCCCCCCGCCATGGCCCCACTGGCAGCACTGGCCCCTGCAGGAGGGCAGCCTGAGGCTTCTGGGGGGCAAGTCAAGGGGGTTCGGCTGCTGTGGTTTGTTCCTGGGGAGTGCTGGCAGTGTCAGTGCCTCACTCATGAGTTAGTGGAGGTGCTGGGATGAGTCCAAGCCTGGCTCGTGGAGGTGATGGATAGGAGGGAGAATGGCAGTGCCTAGAGTGGGTGGAAATGTCATGTTTATCCAACTGAAGTCCATTCCAGGGTCAAAGCAGGGGCCAGAGCTCCCCTGATTCTGCATAGACCCCAGTGCTGGCTGGACCTGCAAACACCTCTGGCAGAGGCTTGGCTTTGCAGTGTGGGAAGGGCCAGGTGTGATGCTTTCCAGCTCCCACAGCTGGGCACAGGGATACTTGCCAAAGCACGTCCTTCACTGCCCATCCGCCTGTCCAGGGGGGGTGGCACAGGGGCCCTGTCCCCTCTCAGTACCACAAGGAACATTACAGTTCCTGTGCATCACTGCTGCAGTGTGCCAGGGCTAGGAGTGCCTAATGCCTGTGCCAGGGCAGGAGAAGAAACCAGAGGGGAGGATGTCCCATGCTGCAGATTGTCCTGTTCAGGGGCTCTGCGAGCCTGGGGTGCAGGTGGTGCAGAAGGGACCCAGTTATTGGGAAGCCACTGCTCTTTGTGGCCTTGCTCAGGGGTCGAGTGTACTTGGAGGGGGTGCCATGGGTTTATACTCCCTCTTGGCCCTTGGTTGGCCTTTAGCCAGCGAGTGAGCTCTGCTCCCTCCCTACTGAGCCCCTGGGCTGGACTCGGCGTCCTCTCCCAGCTCCTGCTTCCTCCTGTCACTGCCCCCCAGCCTGAGCTGAAGTAAGAGTGGAGAAAGAGCTGTTGGCTTGGAAATGCTGCTGCAAGCAGGGCTGTTACCCCCTGCAAGGGCTGGAAGGCTCAGTGGAAAGGCGAGGCTGGTTTGATCTCAGCAGGGAGCTGCACTGGGGGGGCTGAAACCCATCAGCTCCTCACCTGCCCCCAAACTGCAGGCAGGTAAGGATGGGCAGCAGCAGGCAGCATCCCGGAGGTGTGAGGGGAAGCAGATATGCTGGGCACTGGCAGGCAGCGAGCAAAGCCAGGCTGTTGTCTGCCAGCTCCCGCTGCCCAGCGCTGCCTGTGCCCCGTGGGCCGGTGTGGCACGGGCTGGGATGTGTGCCAGTGCCACCACTGCCACCTCCCACACCTCCCCAGTGCCGAAGGCAGAGCTGGGGTGCAGCCAAACCTGCTCGTGCCAAATCCCTGGGCTGAGCAGGCTCCTGAGGAAGCACATCCTTCCTTCTCCTTCTGCCAGGCTGTGCGTGGTGGCCATGGTGTGCTGCATTGAGGTAGTGCCACATTTTGGGGTATAATGGCCTTGCCTGGCCCAGCTGGAGGGGCAGGGCTGGGGCAGGCAGAGCCTCTACCCCGCACACAGCATGTACGGTGGCTCCTACACGCAGGGAAAACAGTGCTTGGAGCTGCCGTGCAGCATTAGCCTAGTGAGGAAATGCTGCCTGCCACTAAATGCTGCCTGAAAGACTCATTTCACTGACAAACCAGAGCACTGTGGAGTAGGAACCACAGGGATGCAGTGACCAACTGGGCCTGGCCCTGGGTTCAGGCAGGAGGGGTTGGGGATGGGAGAGTGGGCACCATGGGGATGAAGCACCCCTGTGCTCCAGCATCCAGATTCTGCATCTCGCCATCTGCCTCCAGGACCAGGCTGTCTTTTCCTTGTGGGTCACCTCTTTGCTTTGTCCCTGGGTGTCCCCAGAGCCACCTCAGTGTCCCTCTCCCACAGCCATGCTGAGGCTCCAGTGTCCAGCAGCTCCTGCCCTGGCACCGCCGCTGTGACCTGTCTATGTCTTTATCATGTGCTTTGGGGAAGCCTTTGCTTCCTCGGGTCCCCCCACATGTTGGAAGGGGGACAAGATTTTAAAATAAGATCCTTTTGTTTCCCAGGGCGGCAACAATGGAAAGGTCCCATCGGTCCCACAGTCGCCCTGTGTTTGTGATGGAAAATTCCCTGCCGTCACGGGGCGAGCCCTCCCTGGTGTCCTGCCGTTAGATGGCAGCATGGATGGGCCTGTCCTGGCCACTACCACCTGTGCAGTGCCACATTTGGACTTCAAGGGATGGAGGACACCAAAATTCCTTGATTTTTTGGGTGCCAGAGGATTCGCCCCCCCCCTCAACTCTGGGTCAGACCCTCTGGTCCTCTCACACTCAGCTTTTCCAGACTGTGCATTTTGTCCAGCAGCTCAGCAGTGCAATGTGATTCATCCCCTCATCACTGTCCACCCCTCACCACCTCGCTGCTCATATCTTAAGGGCACCATGACCCCTGATGCAGTCCCCAGCATGGGCATACTGCCATGGCAGGAAGCCCCATGGCTGTCCTGTGTCTGATCACAGCCCCCCGGCAGTGGGAAGGGCTCTGATCCCACAATCTCAGCTCTTCACCCTGTAGTGGTGGCCAGTGCTCCCCCTCTGTGCTGTCCCCAGCTCTCCCTTACCATGGCGGATTTTAAAAATCTGTCTCCAGAAACTTGCAGGAGCTTGGATACCCATCTGGGATGAAGGGACACGGCTGCTTTCTACTCCATTGGGATCAAGGGTGGAGGTGACCCAATTTGAGTTTGCCGAAGGGTGATACAGTCAGCACTGTCAGGGTTAAAAACTCACTAATTGGGACGGGGTGTGTTGGCTAAAAAGACTTGCGTGGTGGGGTCCCTCTGAGGGCTCCAGGAGGGGGAGCGGGTGATTCCTTCTGCAGGTTTGGCAGCGCGAGCAGCTGAACGCACCAGAAGTTTTCATGCCTTTTCGAAGCCACGAGCACATGGCTCTCATTCAGGCTCTTTCTCTGCTGACTACAAGCGAGCATAATTAATAACCCCCTGGGGCGCAGCGCGGGGCCGTGTTAATTCATCCATTCAGCACTCGTTGGGTGCGCAGGCAGCTGGCCAGGGCTGTGCACTCCCAAAACTCTGCCATCGCCCCCGTCTGCGGCGCGTTCGAGCCGGAGCCGCTGTCGCTGGCAGTGGCAGCGGTGCGGGGGCAGCGCCGCTGGCACGAGTGGGGCGGCACCGCTCGGCTGCCAATGCCATGGGCGTGCACGTGGGTTTCGGTGCACACCTGCCAGAGAGGGGTGCAGGTGCCACGTGGAGCGATGCTGGGGGGCCGCGTGGCTGCCCCGTCCTGCTGGCCCTGTGCAGGGATGGACAGCATGAATTGGGGCCCCCAGCGCACCCCCAAAGAGAAGGGTTGCAAGTGTGTGCACGCCAAGTGCGTGTGTGCCCTTGTGTGCCCCGGGGGGTGCAGGAGGAAGGAGGTTCAGGGGGTGTGTGCAGCACTGCGTGCCTAGGGGTGTGCATGCAGGTGTGAGGTGTGGAACTGGGGGGGTGCACAGGCATAAAGGTGTGTGTGCAGCCAAGTGTGAGATGTGTTCGTTCGCACGAGGAGTATGTACACTGAGGTGAGAGGGTGTTCGTGTACATTCCCTCTGCCCTGAGAGGCCGGGATGTGCACGCAGGCACAGACAGGAAAGCAGGCGATGTGCAGGCGTTAACACACAGGTGCAGGGGGATGCACGGGGTGCACACAGGTGTGAATATAGAAGCAGGTGTGGGGGTGCTCATGTGCCCATGGGTCAGGGATGATGCAGACCCACGCACAGAGGTGGGGGACACGCTGCCAGCTGCAAGGGGGGCAGACCCACGCACACCGGTGGAGACACCCGTGTGCGGAGGGATGCGCGCACCCCCGCTGGTGCCCGGAGCCGCAGGTGCGCCCACCCCCCAGCCCGCTCCGCGCCCCCGCCCGCCCCTCCCCGTCCCGCCCCGCCCGCCCGGCGCCCCGAGGCTCGACGGAGGGCGGCGGGCGGCCCGGGCGGGCGGAGGAAAAGGAAGCGGCCCCGGTGTTCCCCGCCCGCCGCCGCCGCGCGTCGCCGCAGCTGGGGCGCGGCGGGAGCAGAGCTCGGGCGCGGGGCGCTCGCACCGCTCCGCATCGCACGGACCTGCCGGCAGCCCCGGAGATGAGGAGAGTTTGCACGCTGCCCCTCTGGCTCTGGCTCGGCATTGTCTCGGAGGCAGGTGAGCTGAGGGGGTTGCGGGACTGCCCTGCCCGCTCTGCCACCCGCCCCGCACCTGCGGGCGCGCTGGGGACGGGGCTGCTCCGGCAGAACGGGACGGGACTCGGCGCTGCCATCCGTGTGTCCCCCAGACCCCGGAGGGACCCGCACTGCCCGCCACGGCGTTCCTCACCCCGGACGGGGATATGCCGTGCCGCGGCGCTGCCCGTCCCGGGCTCCCCCATCCCCGACGGGGACAGGCACAGTCCGTCCCGGGGTTCCCCATCCTCGACGGGACAGGCACAATCCGTCCCGGGGTTCCCCATCCCCGACGGGGACAGGCACAATCCGTCCCGGGGTTCCCCATCCCCGACGGGGACACGCACAGTCCGTCCCGGGGTTCCCTATCCCCGACCGGCGCTGCCCGCTCCGGGGTCACCCATCCCCGACCGGGACGCGCCGCGGCGCCCGCCCGGGTGTCCCCGACGGCGGTGACAGCGTGCCCGCAGCGAGAGGACGGGACGGGAGGACCCTGCTGCGGTCCCCGCGGGGTCAGTGGACACGGGAAGCCCACGCCGTGCTCGTGCCGCGGGTGTCTCGCTCGAGCAGGGAGAAACCCCAAGGGACCCTCGCGGGAGGGATGTCCCTGCGCGGGGACGCGCCCGGCCAGAGGGCTGGAGGCCAGTCTGGGCTCTGTTTATTTATTTTTTCACGCACAGGGTCATTAATTTGTGAGTGCCGGGCAGCGCGTTCAGGAGGAAGGCGCAGGGAGGCGGGGGTCCACACCATGCTGTCCAGCCTGCCTCTCCCAGCTCTGGTCTGCCTGGGAAGTCACCCAAGGCAGATCCCAGTGAACCTCCCGTAACGCTTCTGGGGCAAAAGGCTGTTGGGCAGAGAGTCAAACCCTCGGCCATATCTTGGGCCAGGTGGGTGTGGGGCCACTGCAGAGATGGGGCTGCAACACCCTTCCAGAGAGCAAAGACCGTGGGGCAGGGCAGAGCTGGGTAGGCACTGCCACGGCAGCGGGGACAGAGCACCCCAGCAGCTACTCCCAGAGGAGCTCCTGCTTGCACAAGTAGAGCATTTACAGCCCGAATCAGAGCAAGACCAAGAGAAAGTTAGTGATGGTGGAAGCGTCCAACATGGGAAGATGAATTTTGGGAGCATAAATAGAATTTTCTGTAGCTTCTGCTCAGTGACTCACTGTCACTGGTGGCATTTGCTGCTGTTGTTGAAGTGAGCTCACGGGAGGGTTGCAGGTCTGGCTGCAGAGGTGCGGCACAGACAGCATCACCAGCAGCACCACTGTCAACCTGCTCTGCCCAAAATGCTGCTGATAGCTCTGGTGCTGCGGGGCTGAAGGACCCAGCGGGCTGCTGGAGCTCAGCGGGAGCTCCAGGAGGCCGGACAGAAAGGGACCTGCTGCTGGTGGAGTCACGGCAGGAGCTGCAACTGTTCAAAGCTCTCCTGTTAGCAATTTGTAAAGCATCGTGGAGCTGTTTCCCAGGTTCTTTCATCTCCTGGAGGTGCGGGAGCAGTGCCTGGGAGGCTCTGGCCAGCCCAGCTGCGTGCTGTGTGGCCTCGTCAGCGCAGGGCTGCGCAGAGCTTTGAAGCTCTTGGTGCTGCCTGATTAGTGCAGCAACGGAGAGCAATGTGAAGCTCAGCTGGGGGATTGCACCCTTGGAATTTGCTTCCTCTTCTTCTGTTATACCTGAGATCAATTTGTCAGTGTGTGAAGGACCCACGAATTCCTCATTAGTCATAATCCCAACTGGGTGCAAATGTTTGCTCCCCTTGAAAGTAGGGATGGAAGTGTGAGACTGTTCCACCTGGGAAGGATGAAATATTCATCTCAGCATCATGAAAGGTCTGTTCTGGCACTGCAGTCCTTCTCGTTCCTGCACCCCAGTGCCTGATTAAATGGGCCAGCAAGAGCACACATTCCAGCTCCACAGTGCTCCCAGGATGGAGTGGAGCTGGGGAGCTGCCCTGTGCAGGCAGTGAGATGTGGGGAGCAGGCAGAAGTTCAGCCCCATCATCCCAGGGCACTTTGAGGTAACGCTTTGTGGATGGTGATGAGAGTGTGTACTCCCTGAGCCAGCATCCTGTGGGCACAGAGCAGTGCCGAGCATCCCGCAGCCAAATAATCCCGCTGGGGACACTGGCTTGCTGCTTCCAAGAGCGTATGCCCTTTGTATGACGGAAGGGCCCGTGCTTGTGTAGGACCTGAGCCGATTGCATTGGCTGCCGCTGCCTGCCCCCCTCTAGGATCACACAGACCCCCCGGCCGGGCGCTCGGACAGCCCCGCGCTGACCGTGCCAGCAGCAACAGTTGCCTGCGCAGCTGGGATTTGAAGCAGTCGCTTTATTGCAAGTAATAAACATGGGCCGTTTCAGCAACACCCTTTCGTACAACAGCCAGGAGTGCACAGCAAACCCCGCTCAGGCTCAACCCGGCCGCTGTCAGCGACGAGGCAGAGCCAGAGCCTCCAAGGGGAGGTGGGTGATGGGAGGGATGCAGCCCGTGGTCCCTGGGGGGCTGCCAAGGAGGGGCCAGCCACGGCTCCTGTGCCCTGCTGTCTGCTTAAGGATGATTTCGGGTGAGTGGGCTGCAACTACCACCCTGGGATTTGGCACGGCCACGCGAGCCCACGGCTCAGTGCCTGCACAAACACCCACCAGGGCGTCAGTTGCTGAGCTCAAATTGACGTCTGGGCAGGGGGACACTCCCCCAGCAGCACAACGTGCCCAGCCAGTGCAGATGGGGTGGAGGGGGCTTCCTCCAGCGTGCCCCATTCCACTCTGCTGCTTCTCTCCCATGGGCTTGCTCCAAGCGGGATCGCTATCCCCAGGGTTTCTCTTGGCCCCGTGTTGGTGTGGTGTTTTCCAGGGCAGGCGTGGGAAGGGCAGGTGCTCCCAGCCGGCCAGGAGGGAACAGGCTGTTCCCGGCGTCCCAAGGCAGTTCCTGGGGAGGGAAAGGGAGAGCGGGATCCCACGGGAACGGCATCAGGACGGGGCCGTGGCCAGGCAGCAGTTTCTCCAGTGCCGTACGAGGCATCCGCAGCACTCAGGAGGTTGCCTTGCAGAGGAGGAGGGGGCTCTTGGTGGGTCCCCAGGTCTGCCCAGCTCAGCAGTTTTGGGGATCAAGGTGAGCCATGGAGACAACACCCACCTCACCCACCTTCTCCTCAGCCACTCCAGCTGGCACAGCAGAGGCATTTCCAAATAAATAAGGTGCCTTTGCATTCAGCCTGCTAGGCTGAAACAGCCAGCTGAAAACATCAGAAAATGGGGGCAAGGTGGGGGGCTCCCTCACTCCCAGTTTGGGGGAACTGTATATTTAAACTAGTGAGGGGGGGAAACTGCAATGAGCCAGAGGTGATGGGGATCCCAAGGAGTCCCGAATGTGTGAGGAGAAGCAGAAATCCCTGCTATGACCGGACCCCTCAGGCTGCGCTGCCCATGGAGGGTGGGGAGCCAGCAGTCGTGGTGGTTTCCGTGTGAGGAATGACTAAACGTCACCAGGCTCTTCCGCTGGGAAAGACGGGCTGGGGCGTTGCGATTGAGGGCTGCAAAATCACAGCTCACCCAGAGAAGGCAGTTCCTGGTGGGTTCCCGTGCTGGGAGGATGTGGAGTGTAGTGGGAGGCTGGTGGCTTGTTGCACACTGCCACACAGCAGTGGAGCTCATCACCATGGGGCCCTGTGGGTGTGAGATGTTTGTTTGGGTCCATGGGCAGTTGTGTATGGAAAAACAGATGAGTTTGCAAGGAAAAAGTCCGCAGGTGGTTAGTTAAAGCTGAAAGCCCTCTTTCTCGCTCTGGACTGTGAGCCAAAGGTGTCCATGTTTCTCCTTGACCTGCCCCAGCTACCCCTGCAGCTCCTGCAAATCTCCAGCTGGACAAGGGGCAGCGGGCAGCCAGGTACACGTCCCACATCAGCTGAGTGCTGTGGGGGGCACTCTGATGTGTGCCAGGGTCTGCTGGGGGGACCAGAGCTGAGCCTTGCCCTGGCCGAGAGCTGGAATTATCTTTTGTCCTTCATTAGGAAAAGAAATACTGCTGCAGCTGCACTGGCATCTAGTGACTGGTTAAATGAATTCCAGGATTTTTATTGCCTCTGGCTATCCCAGACCTTTGTTTCTTGTTTCACGTTGTTAAAAGAGGGGGTTAGCCAGGTCCCAGGGGGGCTTTTTCTCTCTGGTCAGAATAGTTCTGATGTTTTCGGCGTTATTGCCCATCTGTGGTGCCTCATTGTTAGCACAGAACAGTGGAAGCGGAGATGGCGGGTGGTCAAGTCGGCGATGGGGCGTGAGCCCTCGAGCCCAGCCTGGCCACTCGTCTTGTCGAGGGGCTGCGGGCAAATTGCTCCATCTCTGGGTGCAAGTTCAGCAGAAGGAGAGTGAAAACCTGGCCCCGTGGCAGCCGGTGCAGAAACTCCCACTAAGTTTTATAAGCTGAGGATATTAAGTGGGGAGTCTCGGAGTCTCTCCTGGAGTCGTTTCCCTGCTGAGGTAGCAGAAACAGGTTTCAGCCAGCGATTTGTATTTCACTTTACAAATTCTCCCACGTGCGAGTTGTTTTTCTTGCTGTGTTTCTGCCCCCTCCTTCCAGGGCGAGGATCCTTCATGCAGGCTTTGCGGCCAAGCCTGGAGGTGCCATGGAACAGACATCATGTGCTAATGAGAGAGGATTGGTTTAGGGGGTCAGTAAAAGACTGTAAACTGGGAAAACAGAGAGAATGGGATGGTGGGGAAAGGCAAGAGATACTCTGAGCAAGTGTTGTGGTCTCCCCTTATCTAAGCATGTAATAACCAGGCCCCTGCTCCTCCTCCCCTACAGTGAAAAGCAGTGAGGAGCCCAGGGCTGTCCCCAGGAAGGAACATGAGAAAGGGATGAGTGGATTGCAGACATCCTGGTCCCTGTTACTGATGGGCAGAGCCTTGGTGTGAGCAGAGAGAAAGAGGAGATGAGATTTTACCTGTCTACAGCAGCCAGGCCAGAGCTGCTTAAAGCTCCTGGGA